CCTCCCCCCCCCCAATGAAAAATATTTTTCTACGCCACTGATCATAATGTGATATTTAGAGATAATTTTATTGTTATTTTATGATTCTTTGATTCAGTGTTATATGCTTTAGAGTTTGTAACGACCAAATTAGAGTTAAGCTTGGCTTAAGCCGTTAATTATCATGTTAAAGTTAAGACCTCTTACTGTGTAGTAATGCTATGCAGAAAATGTGAACGGACAGGGGGTGAGGCAAGTGCCGTCAGAGAGTTGACCTTTGGCCTTAACAGGGCTAGGATGCTCCCACGAATATATATTCATGTGTTTCATATATTTATCAATGTGGACTTTGTTAATTATCATCTTGTCATATATGTTTAACTACAGAATGAAACCATTGTGAGATGGATGAAACCGAACATAATTAACTAATAATAATATTTATTTATGAATGAAACGTGGTGTAAATAGTTTATTTTTATACACAAAAAGGCAGACAAACAAATGTTGGAGAATTGACATCCGATCACATTATGAAATACAGATTAAAACATTTTAACTCACATTCTGTCTTCTAGACAAAAAAGATAATGTCAAAATTAGTTATTAATTTTGAGAATGTTAAAAAAATGTTATGTATTGTTCCAACCATTATTTTAGGCTATTTTTTTTCTGTAATGTATTTTTGAACTTGAAAAGAATGCCTTACAGAACTGTATTTTTGAGCTTGGAAAAATTTTTTTTTAAATATATATATAATAAAGATCAAAAAGGGTACATTAAACGGCCAGGGGAAATTTTCACTTTATTAATTCTTTACTATACGTATCAGTACAGAAGAAGAAATCAAGGTACTGTTCTGTTGCTAGATTTTCTAAACGTCTGTGAGCAGGGAGTTTATGTTTAGTGTGACGTTTTAATTTTATTTTGGAGATTGCTTTTGCAACTTGGTTAAAACAATTGACAATATAACGCAGTGTCATTGTGATTAATGGATGGATATCCGAAGTCTTTGAAATGAATTGTGTAATAAGATAGATGCCCTTTGTCTCCTCTACTTTTTATTTTAGTTGTAGAAATTATGGCCTGTAATATAAAGCCGTGTACTTAATACGTTGTACGTCCAACTTTGCTCCCTGTGAGCGTAGACGACTCAACGAAGTCTGCCAATTGTCGGTGACAGTCTGACCGGATTGTCAATAAAATCAATCAGTTCCACATTGTTCATGGTGTTAAGTTCTCCATAGAATTGCGTCTGCCCGGTTTTAGACGTATGAAATTTGGATCATAAACCGGCTAATTAAAAAAGAACATAAGTAACAGTGCCTTGAGCACTTTAGTGGAGATGTGCGCTTAATAAATCTTATTATTATTATTATTATTACAATTTCTTTCTCTATACCTTCCCATCACCTAGCAGAGTTGTTCAAAGCAGCCATAGGGACCCCACTTTGTTTCTTAGTTTTATTAACTGCATTCAATTTACGTTCTCTCTTTGCACCGAAGACTTGGTCATAGCTAGTTCATTTAAGAATCCCACTTCCGACCCATTACCTTACATCACCACCTTCCCTGAAAAATGGTCCATTAAAAAGGCCTTTATCTTCTCCCACAAATGCAAAAATCATAAACATTTGTATTGGCAACCCACTAAAGTGTTTACAACTGCATTAAAAAGAAATACAGAAATATCACTAAACCATACATACAGAACAAACACAAAAGAACAGACACACATTCAGAAAGATATTACTACATATATAGAGATATAGATTTTTAAAACTCGATGGTCTTACAACCGAGTACGAAAATTACATTATACAACATATTGTGACAACAATAACAGTAATATGTTAAGTAACAGATTATTTTGTTATTAAAATTAGTTCAGTTATTGGATAGGTCAAATAATACAGGTACTGTTGTTCTGCACAGCTCCTTAAATTGGTGGTTAATAATAATATTAATCTAAAGTAAAATATAAATATGTTGTTTTCGATAAAGGTTGTTAACATTACAATATTATTAATATATTAATTATGGTGCCTTGTAATCTTTGGAAAAGTTAAGGTATAGATTCTTTAGAGGACCTATTTCATCATTAGTAATGAGTTATCTAATGTTTTAATTTGGTTGCAGTTTCCAAGAGTTTATGGCAGACTGTATTTGTTTAATTTAAAATATAGGCAACGTTCAAATAGCTTTTGCCTTCAATTGCACTATATGTTGTAATATATAATGTATATAAAGGCAAAAGTAAAAAATTGTAATTTTAATATTGTTTAGTAACTTTTAATATTTACATATAAATTACATTGCTTGTACAGTATCTCTTGGCAAAAATATTGTATAAATTCCTATACTATGGCTATTAAACTTTAAATGTTAAGAGTGTAAAGAAGGGAAACACGTGTTATAGGCCTACATTGTTGAATAGAGGTGGATGAGCCCAGCGAAAGTAAAAAAAAAACTTATTGGTACATCCTAACTTATTTCATATTTTTCCTTTAGACAATATTTAATTTCTTATTTTCGATCATGTGACCTTTTTCTATATAATGTTTTAACAGAGGTCAATTAGGAAATTTAGGAAATCAATTGTATAAACGGCAACATCATCTACTACTACAACTATAAAAGCCTTTCAGGAAGGAAATCAGAAATAAATTAAATATTTCCAGTTAAACCATAGGCCCATATACCAAACTTTATATAAAAAAAAGAAATATCACAAGCAATCAATCAAGTTTAATCATCATTATTCAGGTATAAGAGTATCAACAGTTCAAGGTATTTCTAAAGCTTGTACTAAATATAAGTGAAGTGAAATTTACTTTACATAAAAACTAATACATTGCTGATTAGATAGAGACTACATGGTCGGCTCTTCTAAAGATAATAAAAGTTACAATACAGTAATATAATAAAAGCATATAACAAAATCAAGAAATTCCATTCGCAGCAGTAAATCAGCCAACTTTAGGAATGATATCCGAAACTGTAGCTTTGACAAACTGTGGATTACTTTTTACATTTTTGCAGTAACTACACATTAGTAATTACTCTGTCCGTGGCGAAAGCAATGGTAGCTTTTGTCTACTGGGTGGTAATTGCAGCAGGACTTCTACGTTGTCTTTGGTAGGTAATTACACAGTACAGTTAAACAAGGGTGTCATGGATGGCTTACCATTTTTTCTTCAACAGGTTCACCATGACTCTGGCCCAATGCAGGAAATGGCACAACTTACTAGTAAGTAACATTTTTGTAGTAATCTACTGTAATCAGTGGCATGTTCGGTGGCCTTGTTCCATATTGAGGGCTGGAGACTTTCGGTGTGATGCGGAACCCAAAATCATTAGCTCAAGTTTTTTCCGCAGAAAAGAAAGCAACATAAGTCTTTCAGTGGGTTTCTATCAAGCTTTAATGCATGTACATACGAAGCTGTGACGTCTTGCATTTTGCAATCCGTATTTGAGTCATTGGTAAAAGATAGAAATTTGCCTGAGACATACTAGCATTCAAATTTGGTGATATTTTTTTTCAAAATGTAATAGTATCAATTTTGTATGCTTCTTGCTATTATATTTTAAGAGGCGCACGTGCTGCCAACAGCAGTTAAAAAAGAAACAAAATTCAAGGTAAAAACCTGTCCAATGCAAAAAAACAAACGCATCAAACGAACAGTAATCAATGATTAAATGATTAATTGGACGAATTTAATAAGCGACAAGCCCCTAACAGCAATTGAGCTAAACCTTAGCAATCTCAGTCTCAATAATTGGCAGTCATGGGTACACACCAGCCACAGGCCTTTATTAGTCCCCAAAGAATGACAACACACAAGCCACGTACCAGTCACAAATACACAATAGCCAGAGTCCCCATTAGCCTGTAGACCCTAGCTTCCACTAGTAACGGGTCTCTCCATCAGCCACAGAGGCCAAGGGTCCCTACTTATCAAAGGCATACATAATCTAAGGGCCTTTAATTACTGTTGGTGGGGGAATACCCTGCTGCCCCCATTGAATCTGCACTGGCTGTACATTGCGGTGCCCTTCCTGCCTTAGTCGCTCGGCCATCCAAGTCGCCTATATATGTTGCTTCTTACCCTGTCCAAACTTCAAGACGATTTATTTTATTGACTGTTGACATAGAGTACTGCTGAACAGTTCAAAACTGCATAAGGATAGTATCACAAAACTACCTTATCGAAAATGTTAACATTTATTTGCTCACATATTTCAAGCTATTTACAATAAATACCCTGTATTTTAATTAAGGTGTTTGTTGTTATAATTTTTTAGCATGTCCACCAGAAACATACATGTTTGGCAAAAACTGCTACTTTGTAGCCAATGCAGAACCATATGAAAATATCAGAAGACGTTGCCATTACGAACAATGTAATGCCAGACCGGTTATTATATCCTCTCAACATGAAAACAATTTTCTTCAGGAGAGACTCATTGAAGATGGTTATAAAACAAAGCTTATTTGGATAGGGTATAGATACAGATCCTATGCTGATGAATACAAATGGATAAACGACAAGGAGATATCTCATTTTGAAGGTATGAAATATTTACTAAATGAGTTCACAAATTAGTCTAAAGTTGACATCATCACATATTGTTTCATTTGTCTTTTTTGAAACTTTACTGTATACATATAAAAACCAACCGGCAGTTTCTCGTATTCACAATACATCTTTAATTAAGAAAGCATACATATTATTTTAGGGTTTAGTATACAAGTTATATAGACCATTTAATTGTTAACGACTATTCATGTACAAAGGTTAAACCTAATATTCTTGAATCGTTTCTCGATAGTACATGGGATCACTTACCTTTACACATGTTTGTTGTGCAAAAGATCAGCAAAATTTTAATACACTCCAGAATTTTCATAAGATTAAATGGGATGATAAAGGTTTTGTAGTAGATACACAGAACATATTTTACGTGGTACCGAACCATTTGTTTTCAACGCCTCTGATAAAAATTTTGTAAACTCTATCTGTGATAAACTTGCAACAAATTTTCATAGTATTTGTTTAGACGATAGTCAATAAATCTATCAAAATATGAAGGAAAATAGTTGACTGGTGGAATAATAATTGTGCAGTAACCAGAGACCATCGAAGTTGCTACAACATTTAGAGGCAATGTATTGTACTGCTTAGTTTTTTTCAAGCTATACATAAGTGAATACTCTGTAGAAACGCAGTTAAAAATGCTTCTACGAGTAAATTCCGTACATACATGTCAGCGTAAAACAACAAAATTATGGAAAGTCAAAATGCTAGTTCAATTTAGTTATGAGGAAATTTATTAAAGATCCAATTCAAATTCTATCCTCAAAAGCTCAATAATTTGTGAAAGCAAGGTTAATTAAAGTTATCTAAAAAATGTAACTTTTTTAATAGATCATTTTCTGAATATATAGGTTATTAAAAGTTAACATAAGTCTTCACCAGCACCTAAAGGTGGAGCTTCTGTAATGTAGTTGAAATACGCACAATCTTGACATAATGCAGTTATTCATTATACGTGTTTAAAGTATGGCATCGTGCCTAATATTTTTCAGGATGGTACATTAGTATATATCCTTAAAAGGCCTAACCTTGACCCACCACAACCGGGTAATTATAGACGTATCAATGTTTCTAATACGTTGTCTAAAGTTTTTGAACTAAGATTTCTTGAGTTATATGCCGATACCAATTTGACCCTCTCCAATATGGGTTTATCAGTGATTACGGCACCGCCATTGCAGCCACTACAATCAGCGATGTGATAATTTATTTCAACAATCAAGGCTCAACTACCTTTTTTATGTTGATGCTGAAAGAGCATTTGATGCAATCCACTATGAAGTCATTCATAGGGGTGATTGAAAACAAATGGTGGAAATGTATCTACTCGTGGTATACAAATTTAATTATTAAAATTAAATGGAATCATATTTTTTAAATATAATAAATTCTTTTGATCACCATTTTTGTTTTATATTTTTATATAAATCTAGTTTTTAGGTTTATGTGCTCATGAATGTGGCATTGCTGTAACCAAAATCAACCTATAACAAGATAAAAATAAAATTAGAAAATGTCAAAGATCATTTTTCTCCTCCCATATATGTGAGGATGGTACATCAACTGCAATGTTAAAACATATATTTGTAAAAAAAAAACTGTTCTTGTACCAATCTTGGTATGTTTTTGGTATGGTATTGATTAAAAGCCACTCTAAATCTTAAAAGTTTTACTTCTGCTTACTGAATTATGGGAAATCTCAAAATGTCTTTTCGTAATAATATTATACTGTTATCTAAAATGATGTTTGACAGTTGTTATCAAAATTACATCAAATATTATTTTTGTCCATATTTCAGTGAAGATTGTCAGTGTTAAGACAGTATTTCAGATGTACAGTATCCGTTTTTTGAATGCAATGGAAGAGACCTAAGGAGTTATATTTTAGTTTAATTTATACTTTCATTATTATCTACGTGAAATATTTTTTCTAATTAATCATACTATAGTAGTTTGATATTCATTGTATTTTGATGTGTTGTTATTTTGGTATTTTATCTCTCCCTTTTGAAGTTTTTGAAAATAAATTGAATTAAAATTGAGAATATTTTTGTTATATTTCAAATTTAATTAAACTTTTATAATATTTATTTTTTTAAATGCTAAATAAAGAAAGAATGCTTTAGTATAACATATTTTAAAAAATCATAATCAGTATCTGTTTATGTAATGTTTCTTGGGTGGTTTTTTTTTCAATAACAATATATTATGCTGTCAACTTGTTATGATTTTTGGCATAATTTTGTTAATTGTTTTGGAACATTTGGAACTGTAGGGGTATTAATAATCCAAGCACAATACTTAATCTTTGCAAAACCTTTAGACCAGGCTATAATTGAGATAGGTGCCACTTGGAGACGTAGAAATTCTCATATGGTTTTTCTACACCCGTTTTTTATGGGGAATCAGAATATGTGAGGTAAAAGGGGTGCAACCTGAGAACTTTGGCGGCCATTTTGAAAATGGCCGCCAAAATCCAATAAACTACATATATATGGGTAAAATAAGCACAGAAGAGGTAGGTTTGACCAACTTTTGAATATATAATGATAGGAGTAAAGTATAACTAGCTAAAGTTATTAATGTGAGGATTTCGGGAGGCAATTGAGGGCGCTTTTTAAAATGGCTGCCGCAATTAAAGAACAACTTAACAGCAGATTCAATACCCTAAATAAATTTGTTTAATTTACAAAACATGAATGTAATAACTGCTATTGATTTTTCAAACCAAAATACAGTAACATATTTTAGGGTGGTAAGCTAACTCCCTTTTGGAAATGTAAGTAAAAATTCCCCCTTACATTAGCCCTTTTCTGTTTTGAATTATGGAAAATATCACCAGAATCCTAACAAAATCCAGCTTTCTTACAAATATATGGTCGTTTTTCATTATTTTTGTGTACTACACAAGGTATTCCAGAGGACTACACAAATAACTACCATAATTTTCATTTATTACATAATTTTCCTTTACTGTGTAACCGTATGTTGAGCAATAATCTTCATGTATTTCTAATATCAATGCAATCTGAAAGTCTTCGTCTTTATTTTAAACAGTTCTTAGACTTCCATGGGCATCACTGTCTCAATCATTTTTTGCTTTATTTGATCATTCCATATGTTGTGAATACTATTTTTATTGACCAAATCATTTACGTCCGCTTAATTTCTATTCTTTAGCAATTAAATTTGCTCAAATGCTCAAGGGTCTGCAAACATGGTGGTAGCAATGATATGTCTGTGATCTTGTTGCCTCCATTGAACGTTTCACATCTTGCTTGATTTACACTTTCCCCCTTAACTCCATGCGGCAGTCTTCAAGTTCCTTAGACATCTTTTGTGACAGAACATCTAAAACTTTAAAGTTGCAGAAAGTGTCAACAAAACTTTGCCTTTGACTACAGAAGCATGGAGATCCAATAAGGGATGATTTCTTCACTGGTGAGAGTTAATGTCACTTTATTGAATAAATTTCGGTATGTGTTTGTGTCTAGAATGACCCTCTCTCCCTTTTCATAAAATAAGATATACAGTAGAAACGACTGCAATATCGATGTCTCCAGAATGGAACGGTTGATATTTATGCATTGGTTGTAATTACTTAAAGCATGCATTGCATGCAGGACGACTTTCGAGTCTGCTTTTCTTGGCTGCTACGAAGATCTGGAACTAATACAAAAATTTCTTTCAGTGACAAGAATGCATTCTTGCTGATAGCAATAGTATTCAAGAGGGTATCCGACCGATGTACGGTAAGAATGGCCCCGGAAATAATGGCACCGGAAAAAATGGCCCCGGAAAAAATGGCCCCGGTAAAAATGGCCCCATATGACAGGTAGGTAAAAATGGCCCCAATAATCAAATTCTGTATTAAAACTGATTTTCTTGAGTCAATATATGCATTTTTTTTATCATAAATAATTTAGTTTTTAAAAGGAATCTAACATCAAACAAATTGCCATTTACATTTTACTTTTTGCAAGAATTAATATTCAATGATAAAATATTCAAAGATAAATAAAAAGCCATGAATTACACTTTTTATTTTTTTTCCTTTTAATTTTTAAATATAGCAACAACATAATCAATAAATCAACATAAATCATACATTTATTAATACTAAAATAATTTACTTGTGGCCGATTTCACGGTAGAGGAATCACAATTCTCCAGAAATTCAATCTGTGTATCGGTTAACCCCACAAACAGTGGGTTAGTATGAACATCAAATTATTATTATTTTTTTAAGAAAAAGAGAGTTCTACAATCATAATTATATGGTTTAGATGGGGTTTGCAGTGTGTTTAGAGGTTTGTGGTGTATTTGCAAGTATTTTTTCATAAAAAATCTAAATTTTAACCAAAAAA